TAGGCCTCCTGGGCTTCCATCTGGCTCGTCACAGTGCCCAAGACCCGCGAGAAGCCGATCTGCACGTCCTGAGGGCTTTAGGTCTGGGAACTTGCTGGCACAAGTTGGACTTTGCTTTTTGGCTTCACGGGAAGTCAAGCCGCCTGTCGTGCCAATGTTGCACATGTTCCTGCTCAGCCCCGCTAGTCCGGTGACATCTTTGTGCACACCATGGTCATGGCTTAGTTGGAGTGAATCAATGCCATCCTTGTATGAGTGTTCAACAGTCAAGGCAGCATTCTATAATTGCCTTGTGGGGACACCACTACTGTTTCACCTTCGTTTGCCTGACCAGCAGCAGCAGCCGCGCGCTTGGGTCAAATATACAAATCAGGCTGTTGGGTGTGTTCGGTGTATCTGCGTCAGCCTGTCTTGTCGGAGCTTCTTGCCGTCTGTCAAAAAACGTGCCACGCAGGCAAAAACAAGAAGGCATGGCCACAGGGTCGGCCTCTTGCTCAGTTTCCCGTGCTTGCGTGTGCGTACAGGAATTGCACAAGGAGCTTGCAATTTAGCCGATTGCCAGGGCTCGGTCTCGCTGAGAAGCTGCTCCGTGGTTGACAGCTGCACCAAGGCGTCCAAAACCATGCGGCCCTTTTCTTCCCGCAGGTCTCCACACTCAAACCAGGTCGTCCAGGTTGCTTCCGGGCAGGGCTTGTCATCAAAGGAGCACAAACAAGCAGCAACCACAACCTCATGATGAAAAGCCGGCTTGCATTCCTCCCTCAGCCAGGATGCCAAGCCTTCGGCACTACCCGTGCGAAGTAGGCTCTCATTGATCTTGGTGCGGAGCTCGTCTTTAAAGGCCACCAGCTCTTCCAGGTGGTGTGAGATGGTTCGCTGGGCGATGTTCCTCGTGCTGCACGCACTTTAATCAAACAACCAAATCGCAATTCCGTGCGCCCACTTAAATCCTGGCATGAGAATGGCCCTCCATCCCTTCTCAGTACATGCCGTATTGGCCATCGAGTAATCTGCCAAGCACACCCATGAACGCGACCATATTCTTGGACCAGGGCGCGGTGGTAGATCAGAGCTCACCCGTGCCAACAGCTGCTCCGGCAGTCGCGCGAACAAGCTCTTATCGAAGAGCCCCACACGAGAGGAGAGCAACGATACCAAAAGCCCTGGAGCGCCCGGGACATCAAGCTGCAAATCTTCCCAGGAGAGTACCAGCCTCGGCATGTTGAAACGGCGGCTTCTCATATTCTTATGGACTTCTAGTATGATGGATCGCAGCAGGGGTGGGTACATTGGTGTGGGCTGCACTTGGGGCCACAAAATAGCAAAGAGTAACCTTCCCTCCTTCCCTCCAACATAATTGCAGACCGCAAGGATAGCAGGGATGACGTCCTCTGCAACACGCAATTCAATCAGCCCCTCGTTTGCTCCTCACCGCAAAGCAAGCAAAATCGCGGATCAAAGTATGTAGCCCCTGTCAGGCATGTTCATAGCCTTCATGCCGTGTCTTCAGCTGCACCCCCACCACATAAAACAAACAACATGATGAACAAACAGGCCTGCAGGCAAGCGGCAAGCGAAAACACACGCACCCCGAAGGCTCCCCCGACACGGCCCGCTCCCCACCAAACAGCTGCCATGGCGCTTCTCGAAGCCTCGTGCCAGCTGGGCCGTTGTCAGGAGTTCCGCATCGTGGAGCGCGAAAAGCAGCGGGATCACTGCCTGCCGCTCCTGGTCATGCCTGGGCGCCATGGCAGATGCCGGTGGGCCGAAAAAGGATTTGCTTTTCTAGCTGTTGGGGGCTTTGCCAGCAGAAATCTGGACAACACTGTCAAGAGTCATGTGTGGCAGCAGGCATTCAGCCATCCACCCGCGGCTCAAACCCTCCACTCTAAGGCGCTGGTCCAGAGACGCCCTCAGCAGCAGGGCCGCCAGCTCGTCATGAAAAGCGCTGCAGCCCATTGCACGGACCTGAGCCACGGGGTACCCCGCAAGCATGGAGCAACATGGAGCAGTTACCTCCCGCAAAAAAGATGACAGGAGCACCCAAAGGAACGAAGCTGTTTGTGTCTGACAGGCTGACGGAGTGTGCACCACGCATCAGTTTTCCGGTGTCGGTTGAGGCCCAAGTTGGGCTGCGCAAGCTGGTGTTGATCACTCTGCGGCGATTGAAGAAAGGCCTTGACATCTCAAACCGGCCGGCCCATGGCAACTACATACCAGCAACTACATACCGGCGCGACAAGCACCACATTGTGCAGGCCAGGCGCGGCACCAAAACAAGCAGGGTTGAACATGCTAGGCTACACCACTTCCCTTCGCAAACTGATGTCTCGAAGTGCTCATGCGCATGATTCTGCTGGCTTGCCACGCAAGCGTCATTGGCCGATCTTCGTGTTTTCACTCCATTGATCCGTGGGCCACAGGTCAACCAAAAGGAACCTGTTGGGAATCGGGGAAGCAAGTGCTGGACACAACAAAGCCCATGACGCTCTGCTCACGCATAATTTGGGGATGTTTGCATTCACTTCCAGAATCTGCAAAACGCACTCACATGTTGCTTTATAAAGACACAAATGCAAACACATATAAAGATTAAGATCAATAATCATAACAATATTGTCGTGCTCCTTTTCCGCGACTTCCGCTACGGACTTGCCAGTGGCCGTCGCGAAGTGCATGCTCAAGCCATCTGAGGCATCACACACTTCCAGACGCGAGCAAAACATGGGGACTCGGCATTACTCGGCAGAGTCTCCTGTGAAAGTTCGGGGCCGCCCCCACAGACCTCTACGCGCATGGGGAGTGTCATATCCAAGCTGCGGAGGCCACCATGCCCGGGACGTCCTGAGAGATGAAGAACTCCTGGGCGAGCTCTTCAGCCTTTGTTACACGTAGGGTATAACTTAAAAGATGACGAAGAGTTTGTAAGAGCCGTGCCTACCTTTCCTATGGCAATTATGAAGAAACACAGACTTTTTCAGACGTTATACGTGATGACTGGCTGTCAAACATCAAACTGAGCCCAGTGAGTTGATGGCGCTTCCAGGGGCCGGTGATCTGCACGGAGTGGGTTTCCATTGCATGGCAGTTTTGGCTGTTTTGGTGTCATGCAGAGACACAACCACCAATCCAGTGTGGTAGCCAAGTGGCGGCGTGATGCCGACTTGTGTGCAGCCTTTTTACTTGAAAGGTTCGGTGAGCTGCTAGCATTCACGCCAGAGAACATACTGTTTGCAAAGGGAAAGCCAGATCAAACAGGTAGATCTCATAGACCTGTGCTTTGACCAAGATGCTTCTGAAACAACTTCTCGGTTGAGCACGCCAATGCAACTCGGAGGTTCACAAGGGCATCAAACAGTTCGTCTATACTCTGTGCTAGCATTGCTTCATCTGTTCTTGCATGCAAGTCTCCTCTGCCCCAGGTTCGGATCCTTAAGACAGAAAAGACGTGGATTGCAGCCGAAGGGCACTACACATATGTGCTAAAGGAAGCAGTGGTTAAGGTTGCATTCATCGACTTAAAACCTCCATAGGAATTCAACAATCGGAGGAACCTGCATCATGGGAACATGCAACTGTCCAATGATTCCAGCCCTTGCACTGCATTGAAGGCCAGCAAGGGGGAGCGCGAGGCAGCATGGTCCTTCGCATTCAAGCGATCTAAGCCAACTGCTAACACAAAAAGGGCAGTTGGCAAGCGGAAGGGTTCAGCGGCTCCGACTGAACCCCATCGCAACAAACTCCTCACCTCGGCCCCGGCTCCTCTGCCAAAGACTTGGCCTGTCGAATGAACTCAAAGAACTCCAGCCTGGTGTCATCTGGTGGGTCGGCGCAGGTCGGGCTTGGCACCTAGCACACGCACTTCGTCTTCCAAAAGCCGGGTGCTCTCAAACAAAACCAAGTAGCATTGAGCCGCTTGCCGCAGGAACCATCCCCAGTCCCATCCAGTGCACTGTTCAAACGGACGCCACCACCATGAAACTGCTGCTAACTGGACCACAACGTGGACCCAGGACTAATAAACCCGTCCCATTATTAGGAGGGTGTTCCCTGCAAAAGTGATGAACCCCCACTAAAAGGGGACACCACCCTTTTGAATCAACCAGGGTGTATTAATCCGGGGTTAACATGGGTGTGGGTCAAAATAAAACCACCAGGAATTGGACCGCAGGATTCTGTCCTTGGTTCCAATTACCAGGGTTTCATTTTGGGTACCTATTTTTGACCCACAGCCACATTACTTCTCATGGGCGCCTTGCAGTCCACCAGTCGGCAGTTGGGGGAGATTTGGCGCGCGAAGGAGAGGCCCTGCTCGCTGTCCAAGTCCTCTTCGTTCAAGGGCTGTGCCGGGCTGTGCCTGCGAGCGGGTAGGTCGTCCCTGGTCCCTGGGACATTTGCCTGGGGCTCAAAAACCGGTGCCACAATGGAACCCTGGTAAGTGGAAACATGGACCAAAAAAAACCGTAACGCCTCCTGTTTGATTTTGAGCCACACCCATTTGGAAAACTGGAAGCCCCAGCGGCTTTCAGGAAAAAAGGGCAAGCAACACTCTCAAGAGTTGGCTTTTTGGCGCGGACGCCAGCACCAAAACAGGCCATCGGCCTGGGGAAGCCGCGGTCACTGAAGGAAGCTGTTTTGGTCGCCATCACTTGATGGATGGCACAGAACAGGGCTTGGGCTGAAGACTCTGCGAAGCATGGATTGATCGAGCCTGCTCCCACATTCTCAACTTCCCTCCAATTGGTGATGAGGGTGGTTTCCCATCTGCCCTCAAGAACCGCTTCTTTAACCCAAATCCAAACCGCCAAGCTGACCTGATGGGTAATGTTACCCCCTGGTTGATTAATAGTGGGGTGTCCCCTTTTAGTGGGGGTTCATCACTTTTGGAGGGAACACCCCCCTAATAATGGGCCGGGTTTATTAATCCTGGGTCAACATTAGCCTGAGATGACCTCAGCTTAAAACCCCAAGTCCTCGCCGTCCGATCCCAGGGCCCCAGCCCCAGCTCATCCAGGTCTGGCGAAACCGCTCTGAACGCCCCGAGTGGAGGCCGGGAAGTCGAAACTCGGAGTGACCCGAACTAAACCAAACCCAACTGGTGGTTTCCTTGGGGACCAAAGCCAGAATTCATTCCATCTCTCATCCCTTATCGCACCAGCAAGTCCTTGTCTATCCGTTTCTTTGGCAAGCCCGGTGGACTTGAGCACGACATCGATGAACAAGCCTTAACGCTGTTGCTGAGACAAGGCTTGGCGGCAGATATGCTGCCGTTAATATGTCGCTCCAAGCTTAAAATATGTGCTCCTTGAAATTCCTAGTGAATTCATCGGTGGGGTGGCTAAGCTGCCTAGGGGAGGGGGTTCCGTAATTCTGCCTTTAGCTTAAATTTGTGCTTGCCTAGTGAATTCATCGGCCTCGGCCTTCCCAGATTGCTTCTTTGGTCGGTGCAACGTCTGCTCGCCCAGGCCTTCGATCATGGCAATGGCACGAGCCCCAGTTGCACCTGCATCGGATGCACACATCCTCTTCCATTTGTTTAAGCCCCCTGCAGAACAATATGCCCAGATATGTCCAGTAGTGATAGATTCCCATTAAAGTCAAAAGGGAAAATAAGAACTATTCAATGAGCATACATGGGAAGTTCTGCATCTGGTTTCATGTCCCTCAAGTCTTGGCCGAAAGTCGAGAGAAAGTGTCGCCGTTCGAGCGCTGAGCTTCAAAGAGCCTGGCTCCACATACAACACACCGCTGCTAGGAGCGCCAATGCATCCGGCTGTTGCGTTGGGGCAACCAGAAGCATCCGAACAACTTGTTACAAATCCCCAAGGGAGTTCGCCCTGTGCATCTCCGCTGAGGGTGTCTCAAACAGGTGTCTTCACAAAACACTGTCACTGTCCCCTGCTGAAGCTGCTTAGAAGCCTTGCAAGCCCTAGGACGTTGTTCCCCAGACAAACTTCCGCACAGCAGCCCTTGCAAAACTGCCCCCTCGGCCTTTGCATATATCAAACTTCCAACCTGGCTCGTCATAAGGAATTGTTTGGACACAAGAGCCTCAAAGCATGGTGGCGAAAAAGGGAACATAATTACTCCTGGAAGCTTGCTGCCCTACATGTGATGCCCAATGGCCCATCTGTTGGGATCAGGGCCATCAGTTGTGATTGAGGCGGCAGCAGCTCCAATGACCCACTCTGGCCTAGTAGATCTTCGCCCAGGACTGCCAGGCGTGCAAGGCACCAGGCCTAAGCCGTTGCCGGGAATGAACTTGGAAAGTTGCAGCTGGGAATAGGTTTAGCCAGGGTTCCATTCTTTGACCACCTGCAAACTTAAACCAGGGGTTCCCTTTTTGGGGTACATGACCCACTCCTCAGTTTAAGTCAGTGTGGGGGTGGTCAAACAGCGGACCCTCTGTTTAGCAGCTTCGCGTGTAGCAGCCGTCTGAAGGTCGAGGAGTTCCTGTTCATCTGTAGTTTTGTGGGGAATCCTGGGGAAGGAGCAAATGTGCCGCGCGCCCTGGAGTTTGGTTCGGGTTTCGGCGGGAAGCCAGAAGCCCCCCAACAAAGGTTCTGGGGGCCGTGTCCACCCTGACATTGAGCGTCCCCGCCGTGTTGGCAAGATCCTGGCACTTCAGAACATCGACCTGGAACAAAGCAGGAATACTGTCAGACTGCCCCACCTGTAGCTCAGGGTCTCAGCCTCTCTTGGCACGGACAAGTTTGCTGCGGAAGGTCGGGTGTGAACTCGTGAATAACTTGGTATGAAAGCAGAGCTCAGCAACTTTCTCCCTCTCAATCTGCGTGCCGGCTGGGCCTCTCCGTTGAGGCGCCAGGAATCACCGCATCACTCTGGAAACCATGGCTTGTTGCCATGTCTCGATTGAGCATGCACGTCCTTCTGTTCATCCAGCTTCACTCCGCTTCCCTCGAGACAGCCTCACCAGACCTCCTTGGAACCACCCGCATCGGCCAAAACCACAGCCGGCCGTAACAGGCCGGGGTTCACGGCGTATCCGTGCACCACTTTTCTGCCTCCACCGGGTCGTTGAAAAATCCCACTCCGGCCAATTTGGTTTTCTTGCAGATCATCTGCGCAATGGCCATCAGGGGCCGCGGGCCCACTATGGCCACATGCTGCAGGCGCGAGGCCTTCCGGCGGATGAAGCGAGCGATGGGAGGAATAGCCAGCGGGGAGCAGCCGACCCCACTCCTCAGCTGGCGGTAGCAATTGCTTTTCCGGCTGTAATGTCACAACAAAAACCGCCTGAGACAATGTGGATGTGTCCCAAATCTTGAACAGCAAGCATGGCTGTATGGCCAAACGAAACTCCCACAAGCACAAGCCCACTGAAGCATCAGCGCCAGAAGGAGGCCCCCGCTGCTACGAAAACCTGCCTTTTTCCCCCCAAACCAATATCTGCGCTTCTTCCCGACTGCTTGCACAAGTGCGAGGAACCAGTCAATGCAGGTGGTTCAATGGTTTTCGTTGCTCTGCACGCCAGGCAAAAGCATACTTCTGGAGACCGTTGTCCGACATGGCGGTTTACCAAGTTTCTGCATTTTGCCACGCATGTTCCATCCACCACACAGGCAACTGACACATGAATGGCCTTCGAAGGCAAGGTGGCCTAAGGCCAAGAATCCGCATGTCCACCAGCACTGTGCATTTGATGCCCGCATCCATCTGTGCCATGGCATTGCTGGTGTCATCCAGCAGTCGCTCCGTGCACTCCTTGGTGCCAAAGCCGAAAAGCTCGAAATCCAATCCTCAGAGCAAAGCGAAAGACCCGACATGACCCGACATGACCCGACTTTAGAGAGGAGATCAAGAAAGAGCACACGCGCAAAAGGAAGCCTCTGGCGAGATACATCAAGAAACATTGTGTTCTGCATTTTTGGGTCAAGTCTCGTCCATCGGGCCATGCCACTACCTGGCAGCTCCCCACAGAATCGCTGTGGGTCACGTTCACAATAGGCGCAGTCGCCGCATTCTGCAGCAAGGCTGTGGCCTTGAACCGGAAGTCAGTCGCCAAGCACAGGACAAGCAAAGCCAAACCTAGGCCAACTGCCAAGGATACCAGAGGATACTGGAGGGCTCTCCGCCTTTCCGCGAAAGGAAGTCTCATGGCCACACAGTCAACAAGCGGCACAACAACACTGGAACTCCCCGGAATGAACGGCCTCGACTCGCACCAGTATTAGCACAGATGCACACTATGTCTCACGTGTCGTGCATGGACCACTGACCATGTCAACGTGTCTACGCTCAGTTTGCGGCCCACACCCCCCGTCCTTTGCCCGATGACTTCCAAGCTCCAAACCACCAAACCACCAAGTTTTGTGGGGGCTCCCAGCCCTTTTCTCAAGTCCGAAGCCAGAGCGCCGACCGGACGCCGATTTGGTGACCGCCGCCCGGCCACCGGCATGGCGCAGCGACAATCCAGACGTGGAGCTGATCTTTGAGGCTGAAACGAGTTTCCAATGGCTGCAATCGCCGGCAACATGCACGGACAGAAACTAAGTAATGACTAAGCTGACGAAGGAGATCATGAAAGAGCCAAATGTCTGCGTTCAGCACCCTGCCCATTGCTGCTCAGTATGCTTTGACAAAGAGGCCCCTTAAGAGTGCTAGCGCTGCCTTGCCAAGCCAAAAGCGGCGGCCGCGAAGCAAACATGCAGAGAGTGCAACGCATGTCCGTAGGGCGTTGGCCAGACTAAGCCCAACGTGTACAGACAGATCAAAGCACGCAAACCAACCACATCCAAACACATGCCCAAGGTACAAACACAAACACGGCCGCCCTTCACCCCACATTCACACTGTAACTCTGACCGACGCCCCAAACATCCGCTTGGTCACCTGCCCACCCACTCAACCCGTCGCGCAAAGACGCGCCTGGCGTCGTGCCTCTGCTCCAGTGGCCCGAGTCAGCGCTGGCCTGAGCCCAGGTTGCCACTGTTGCTCCCACACGGCTGCAACATTCGCCTAAGCGATACGCCAAGCGGTTTGGCGCACGGCGCCCCTGGCCCCCAGACACTTGCTGCTCCACTGGCTTCAGGTTTCAATCCCCTGGCCTAATCCTCCATGACTTGCTTGCCAGGACATCCATGCTATGGAATGCCTTAAACTCCTCCATGCAAGGAGTACGTCAAAAACCAAGTCATGAGTTTTCCAATCTCATCTATTCCATGCGCATGGACTGTCCCACCAGGCGGAAAGAACCTGATATGGTTTTTCCCTTGACTCCTAACCCTAACCGCGGTAACATGAAATGGAGACGCCTCTTCTGACACAACGGACGCCCGTTGCCCTTGGGCATCGCCACAACTAAGGCCACGGCTACCGAGGCTCGAGGGTAGCCACCGACCAGGCGATGTTGGACATATTTTGACCTTGGCATGAACCACGTCAATCTAATGGGCAAATGTGTTGATGGGGAATTACCTTCAAAGTTGTCGGTCGCATCCAAAAATGTCCACCTTTTTGTATGCGTAGTCAACTCCTCCACTGGTACTATCGCATACACCGGCTAAACAAAAGTTGCGCTTCTTGAAGGTCAGAACGTGCACACATTTGATTCATAACATCTAAATTGAATTCAAAGTTCTCACTAACATCTAATTGACAGCCTACTTGGAAGGAAAGTGCTAAACAAATTGGAAGGGAAGTGCTAAGTAATATCGAATTCAAAGAACATAAAAGTCAACATCCAAGAAGCATGTGAAGCCTCACAATGCACGTCTTGCAAACCAACTGGACTGGCATTTGCCTCTTGCTCCCCACCCGGCAGGAAGGGGTTGTTAGACTTTATGTTGGAATCCGCGTTTGCGATGCTTCTACACCACGACCCCACCCAGTATCCCGCCAGAGCAGCTCGCCAGTGGATCCCGCCGAGTATGCCGCCAGAGCAGCTCGCCAGTGGATCCCGCTTGCCAGTGGATCCCGCCCAGTATCCCGCCAGAGCTGCTCGCCAGTGGATCCCGCCCAGTATCCCGCAAGAGCTGCTCGCCAGTGGATCCCGCCGAGTGGATCCCGCCGAGTATCCCGCCAGAGCGGCTCGCCAGTGGATCCCGCTGCAGTGGATCCCGCCGAGTATCCCGCGGAGGAATTTGTTGTAACGGTCGTACGCTCGTGAGTGTGGAGGGTGGGGATTGCTCGAAGCGAAGTAATTGTTTGCCGTTTTGTTCACTCCATTTAAGGGCGTCCCTTCCGTAATTAGATTCTATTTAAAGCCCTCAACAATTACAGAAACTCGTGCAGGTTTCGCTCTGTAATGTTAGACCCGAGAAGGACCGTTGATTATAAATTCAAAGGTGCTTGAAAATTAACCGCTCCACGTCTGCCACACAGGTTGCACTTGTACTTTCGATCCTCCGTTCAACAAACGGGAAAGAAGCAAACGCTTCTGCCTGAAACATGCTGTAAGGTGGTTCAAACGCCGAGGTGTCGGACAAGAACAACGCGGAACTCCTGGCAAACGCAGCTCTTGCGCGTTGAGGCGCGTACTTTGGAGCTCAGCAATTTTCAACACCTCGGGCAAAGCTCGGCCGGCCAAAGAATGGGGATGTCGCTGGTTAACATCAGCTTCATCAGCCCTTAGCAAATCACTTCGGCCGCATCAGGCAAAGTAACCCGACGCCCGATCATCAAGCAAAAGCCCAAAGCCGCAAGATTCCTGGCAGGGCCGAGGAGACATTTGCACCCTGCAAATCTGCAAAAAAAGCAAGCGGCAGCGCTGCAAATGAAACAGGAATATGCTGAGGGCTCAAAGCCTGCCACTGGACTGGGAGCACAGCTGACTGCTGCGCGGCAGCATTCGTCAAAGGCGCGTTCATCAGGACCAGTCGAGCCTTAGCCCGAGGCTCAACTGCCCGATCGGCAAAGCAACACCGTATGGCCTGACACCAAGGATCAGCATGCAATTCCCTGGTAGCACTACATGCACCTTGAACATCCCAGGGGTGTTCATTCGGCCTCCCTGACAACTTGACCCCTTCTTTTGCAAGCCTTTGCATGCGCCCCCATTCGGTGCGAAGCCAAGCCCCTGGGCTGTGCAGCCGGCTATGATATGCACAACTTGGGCTTTGGTTGCATGGTTGGCAATGGCCAAAACATAGTCTGCAGCCGCAAAGGCTGCGAACATAACGCTGGCTTCGGAAACGCCACTTCAAAAAAAGCCCAGGTTGCAAAAGGTCTGAGAAGCGTGAGCTTTCATCTGGTGTAGCCAAGGAAGGCCACAGCAACCTACCGCAAACAAGGCTTCCTGTCGATCTCGCCAAGCAGCCCATGCCCATGCAATGTTCGCCAGCCCCTGCGGGAGTTATGCCCAAGACTTGCCGGCTTGCGCTGGTTGATTGGTGGGCGCAGAAGAAAAGCATGTCGTCTAGGCATGTTGCAACGAGGCCACCCGAACCCTTCTCACTCAACAAGCTTGGACTAATACAAACGAGAAGAAGGCTCTGTCCGAGAGCGAGAAGCAAATACGTGCATCATGCCGGGCATGCCCAAGCAAATGTAATCAATATCGCCGACAAATCAAGGTTTCTGGCGTCAGCCAAGTGCGCATATGAGATTCAAATGATTCAGTCCAAACACCAGATTTCACTTTGGAAGCAGGCCATTTTAACTGCAGAACCAACTAATATATGATGGCACCTGTTTCCATGCCCGTGCAGCTTATCGTCAAGACAAGAGCTTTCCAGTTGTGTCCTGTGGATTCATCTCCTCGGTTCTCTCCAGGCATCTCTCGGCTGAAGCATCCTGGCATGGCAAAAATATTGGGCCAGCAGTCTGTGCCTCGTTCTCCGTTGGGGTTCAACGGCACCTTCGACATGTCCAAGTATTGATGACAATGCTGTTTTCGGTCACACGCTCCGAGCTTCTAAGTTGCAGGTTCAATTTGCTTCGCACCCTCTGCTACCATGAGCCGCACCCAGCACCTCACGAAACTTTTGCCTGACGCCTCAAGCGTGCCAGGGAGTCCATGCAGGGCTGGTGCAGGGGATCCGTGTTGCCGGAGCCCCAGGACGTATTGGCCGGGTTCTGCGCCTGCTTGGAGCAAGTGGGGCCCTAACGCTGACTGCATGCCCAAAGGTGCGAATAGAATACATATCAACTTGGACACAGCACTATCCAAGCCTACCACTCATCCCTGACCAGGTACCTTCAGACACTTTTACAGAAGCAAGACTCAATGCATCGCCTCATCGTCACATTATGTGCACTGGCTCAACTGTCCTCCAAAAGAAGCGTGCCCACCCCCACCCCCGCCTGAAGCTCACTGCTGCGCTGAAGCGCCTCACTTGTCATAAGCACAGGTCAAGCACTGACAGCTGCGTGTCACCACGCAAGCCCCCAGCCCCTGTCGCACCAAAACACGACACCAAATCAAGGTTGTTCTTGAGGTGCAAGCCCCGCAAGCTTTTTAAGCATGGAGTCTCGGTGCATGGGGGCCAATTGCACCCGCCTGCTCTGCAAGAGCTCTCATTGCACGCTGCCCGGCAGGTGACAAAGTGGAGAGGCACCGAACCTGGCGTTGTTTTACCACAAAGTGTGCCACAAAGATGAGATCGCCCCTGAAAACAGTTCCCAACCGCACAGCAGCAAACAAAACCGAGGACTGTGCCCACATGGCATGCCTAGTTTTTGGCCAACATCGGCCTAGCCTGATGATGGCACCCGACTTGAAACCGGCCGATTTGTGGATGAACATCGAAACCTGACAGGATTCTTGCTGCCAACCTATTATTCTTGAAAAAAGGTATACAATACAGAAGAGTTGCTTGGAGGCGAACAAACTTATTTCTGTTTGTTGTTTTGCTAGCTCTTAGCATACGCAAACAAGATCACTCAAGAAATCTGGGGTCCATATTGGCCCACATTGCTTGTATCTGGCCCCTGCAGCTGGGCTAAAGATACAAATCCAACACTAAGCAGTTCCAACCAGTCCAATGCGAAACGATGCTAAAGACTTCCAATCAGTTCCGTGCCAAACAAAACAGCCACACTAATACTATTCCAATACCACACTAATACTAAACCGAAGGCTGCACAAAGAGGAGAAGATCTACCGGCCAGATTTGTCCTTGCCCTTTGTCATATACTAAACTAGGGTTCCGAAAGCTCCAGACCTCATCAACTTGAAGCTTTCGCCGCGTCCGTCTGCTTCTCCCTCCCAGTTGGCCCCTCCCGCAAGGACCAACCAAGGTGGGAGCACCAGGTTTGCAAGGCCCTGACCTCGGAACGATCATTGGCCCATTCCGCCGAAAGGGATCCAGCCCGGACGCGTGCACCCACCCGACGGATTAGGTCGAGGATCATGGCACATGGCCGTCAGATTCGGCCCGCGACCCAAGCTACAAAGCTATTGTTGCCACTTTTTGACAGGGAATCAAGGCCCAAGGCAAACCCATAGCTTTCGAAGACCAAGACTTGCCTTGGTCCCATTATCCACTGGTAACACTGGCTGTTTGACCGGGCGTTAAGCAGCTTCGTCTGCCACGAAGGATGGCTTTGTGAGATGTCAAGCGGGAAGGGGAGACAGGGAGACACCCAGCATCCGTTCCCGACGTGCGAAGGCAACTCCGACTGATCGCCTTTCTCAACGCTGCTGAAACACTTCCCTTGGTCCCACACAGAATTGGTTGCTTTCGACGAACCAGGGTGGCACCGTCCGATCCAGTGTATCTTAGGGATGCTTGCCTGCATGCATTAACCATGACATGGGCGATGGCAAGAGACCCAAGCAGGCAATCTGGCTTAACACGTTTCATCCGGCTTCCCCGAAGCACCTTCTCCATGGCCAAAAGCGATCCCCGTGCTGTGCCCACCACTGCCCAAGCACCCCGGCCGGCATGCTGATGCAAGGTGCACATCGCGTGGTCACAGGTCGCTGCTAGCCTCAGAAACAAGTGGAGCAACCGTCGTGCCTTCAAGCATCCTTCCTGACCTGCAGAAAACGACTCCCATGGCTGCCAAATGATGTGTCCAACCTGACGCCTGTGCCGTATCTAGTATCATATGTATCATCTACCCATCTACCCCTGCTCAGTGCAAGTTGTCGCAGGTGCCAGCTTCAATCATGGACTCGCGCTGAGGCTCCGACAGCGGCTCATGAAGGAGGCCCAAGGTGCCAAGCCTTGGAAAAGGGCGCGAAACACATCCCCAACGTAACTTGTTGCGCGGCCATAGGGAACGTGCATCACTACACTCGCGCTGCCAAATCCTCTCCCTCCAACTGTAGAAGTGGCCTCCGAAGCCTAACTCCTCCGCTGAGCCAAACCCAAATCGACAACCATACGAATTCCAAAGACAAACACTTTGGCTGAGCCTAACGAGAGTCAGTGAAGTTCTGAAGGAGACCACCCCAAGAACACCATGGGTACCCTTACTCCAACTAACATGGCACCTGTGGGGAGGTAGCTGGAAGAGTCATTTCCTTTTGAAGGGAGCCCTTGTCAGTTGCCATGTTGGTTGGGAGGGAGGGTATCTTCTCCTTTGGGTTCTGCGGCTCATTTCTGTGGCCTCGCGGACGGTGGCCAAGTCCCCACTTTGAGGCTGGCACGCCCAGACCGTGTTGGCGATCGCCTGCGCCTCGCAGCCCGCAAGCTGGTAGCAGAAGGCGTCCGCTGCAGCCAGCAGACCTGCGGACGAATGTTGCGAAATGCCCGTGGCAACATGCCGGTTCTTGTCTTCAGCTTCCCTTAAGCTGAACATGGTGTTCTAAGTGCATCCACCCAATTGACCAACACACACCACTAGGCAGAAGTGACACCATGTCAAAAGGCATGAGCATGAGGCGACACGCCTGTTGGCATCCTTGAAGCTGAGCCAATGACAAGAATAACTTTCCCAAAGGGCAACACGAGCGCTCGCGGGCACTTTTCCAACAAGTGATTGTGGCTGACATAGCTGGAGCAAGGGAGGTCATGAGCTAACCACTGGAATGTGGATGCATATTTGTCACTTGGGTACCCTCCGCAATCTGTCTGAGCAAGGCGCACGGCTGATTGGTGATGCGCAGAGTCGCATAACACCAAACTGCATTGGACCTCGGGCAGCACATGCTGTACGCGACAAACAAAAATACAAGCTGTCCAAAGGCCTTGCGTTGCATAGGTCTGGAGGTTCGTCAAGAATCATCAGAACTTTCGGGATAAAAGTGTTTCTCAGTTGCTTTCTGCTCCCCTGGTAAAAGTTTAACTTTTAGTGGTTTAATGGAAAGCCCCTGAGTTGGCAAAAAGTTCAAGTCCTAGCATCCAAGCAAAACACCCCAAAGGTATTTGAACAACCTGGAGGTGGGGGTGTTGGCGTCGCCTCCGCCGCAGGCAGCTGAGACACAGACGAGTTCTGCGCATTGGACTCCCAAAGCAATGCCATCGACGCCTTTCAGGGTGTCACCGTGACACACTTACACACACACACACACACTTGCACACTTACGCGTACACTTACACTTACACACACACACACATCTTTCCTCATTTGCCTCCTCCTTCCAGAAACGTTGCACGAAAAAACCATCAAGGATTTGCCCGAAGCCACCCTTCCGTCATCCTTCCGACCACAAGCTTGCCTGGCCTCTGGCCCTGCCTGGCAGATGGACTCTAGCGAAGACTGGCCAAGAGCCTCCACCTCACAGGGGGGGCCAGGTGCTGAAACTGCCAAATCGAGCGCCCAAGCTTGCAGTCAATGCCCGTCCGTGCCTTGGCAGGGCACCAGGCAGCATTGGTCGAATTCTGCGGGCTGAGCTGCTCGATCTTGCCTAGGTTTGCAGGCTTAAAGCAGGCGGGCATTGATTGAGAGGGTAGAGGGTGGTAAGAATCAAACCTTGGAAATTTGTTTCCAAGGCAAATCAATGGGTCACTTTTCCTGGCGCTCTGGTTCACGAGCCTTCCAAGCAATGAAGGCTACGGATGGCCTAGGACTCTCATGACACCTCAGGTTCAAGAATCTCCCACCTGGCCTCAGTGACATATGGCTCAAATGAGCCCTGCAAAACTCTCCAACACCACCATGCGCCTACTGCCCATGAGGTGCAGGCGCGCAGGCGATCCCTGACTGAGCTGCGGACCCTGGGCTTCTTTGGAGGTGGCATGCCTGTCAATCAGTTGGTGTGCGGAATCTGGCGGCCTGTGGGTTCTGCAATGCTGCCACGGCCCACGGTTGCCCCCTGTACTGCTACATCAGTTAGCTTGCCTCCCAAACAGCCCCAGCAAGAAAGTGTTCTTGGGATCACTTGGGCCAGCGGCGAATCTTTGCCGCTGACAGCCACACAAATATCCCCTACCCAACTCTTCCGCGGCATGGGGCACGTGAAAGCAACAGACGGGTTCTCTCAGGTCCGGGCATCAGAGGCATGTCGAGGATCACCAGCTTGGCGGGTGCCCGGGCGGCATTTCCAAGCCTCACGTGCGCGTCCAGCTCGGCTCGAAAAGCGAAGCCGCTCACCGAGCGTTGAAGAAGCTGATCTGGGAAGAAAAGACCCACGCGTTGGCCTTATCCATTTGAACAATTGAAAAAACGATTTGAACTTAGCTTTTGAGAGTTTTAGCAACAAACAATCCCGAAGTGATTGAACTCGAAGGATCAAAACAAATTGTTATTGTCAATTGAAATGCTTCTTCTTCTGGGCTTTCACATGCGGTTACCTTCAGGATACAGTACAGGTACTCATTTCAAGCAAAACCGGGTACGTTGGTATTGTCAGGGGCTGATGTGTGACAACTCTTGCCATGAAGCATGGGTGCATGGGGACAGTGAGAAACGCAGCCCGTGAATGATGACATATATGCCACGTGCCGACTCACAGCACTCACGCTTCCCTGGTGCCTTCCCTCATGTCCACCCGGGCTCAAACACTTCTCGATTCGCAAGTGGTTTCTTCCCACAAGCGAGTCTTGCCTTTCACTCTACATGCATGTGTCTCGGAAAAAGCAACCACGGTAAACTACAAACAACTCGCTGCTGACAGATTTATCAAGCGCCCAAAGCCGGTGTCTTCGCATGTGAGCGCCCTGGCTCTTGAGGCTGCAAGTCAGGCATCTTCTGCACCTCGGAGGCGAATGACTGCAACAATAGCGCGTCGCTCGGTGCTCACCTCGCCCAGGTCTCCGGGACATCAAAATCAACAAGCAGTTGCGTTGAACCCTTCAACTTACATCGAACTGACTTCTTTCAATCCGTTGTTCGACAAAACTTCTCAAAAGTTTGGCGTGCTCACGGAAGCAGCGGGGGGGAAAAAACACGAGATTGCATTTTCTGGGGGGCTCTACCCTTTCTACAAGATCCGCCTGCAAAACATCCCTGGGCTCAACTGCCCAGCACTTCCCTGCAGCACTCCCGCGAACCTGGGCCTGTGGCTGCCTCCTGCGCTGTTGCAGCCATTAAGGCGGCACCATGCACCTCCGCACCTGCAACTTGTCATAGGGAGGGGGGAGCCAACCCACGTTGAATACTGGGCTGTCTTCAGTGTTCAATAGAAACCCCTCTAAACCCCTCTAAACCCTTAAACACCTAAAAGGCTAAGTGGATGGCTGGGAACCACCAAGAATAGACGTGCAACATGGGCCCTGCTTTGGCATGTTCAATCTGTGGCAAGCCACGCCCTGATGCTTAAACAAACACATCGCAACTCCTTCTGTAGTTGTCAGGCTGTCTCTGTCAGGGCACGTGTTCTCCATTATATAACCACCTCCGACAGTCAAGGGCAAAAGAGCCGCCGGAAGCTTCCCACTTCACACCTACCCATGATACAGCCAGCACCAAGCCGCCAGACCTTTGCTTGCGACTCACTGGCCGGGGGCCCCAGCGGGTGAAGGCCAACGCCGCAATGGCGGGGTCCTGGGGCTTGAAGGTCGGCGCCTGCGGCTCGTGAGCGCATGGGGTGAGCCCTGGGCCTTCGGCCACGTCCACATGACATGTTGCAAACCGCGGGCTGAGGGGGGGTGGGGGGTGGAACTTCATGTTCTTGGTGCTCAAGGACGGGGCAGAAGCGACATGTCAGCCAAAGTCTTACTCTGCAGGCAACCAGGACATCAAGCTTGGAGGGCGCCCTCTTGATGGCACCTGTCGAAGAGCAGCAGCTGAAGTTGCTGCAAATAGGGTTCTGCCGGCAGCCTTTAGCCTCAGGCTCTCCGGATTTGTCTGCCGCAAGTGGCAGGCTCATTCTCCAGCCCCAGTCTGCTACCGCAACCACTTGACCTGCTTTTTGCCAACAAAAATGCACTGAGACTGCGTAAGACAAAATCTATCAACCAATTGTGCGCAGCCAGCTTGCAGGCTGCCATTGAGCCCGCGGCGTTGCAAGCGCCCAGGCCAGGTTGTTCAGCTCTTGGGGCTTGGACCTGGCTACAGCTGTGCCTCGTAATGAGCGCTTGGGACTTGGAGATTCTGAAGCCATGGTCGCACCACTTGTGTGGGCGATTGGAACTAGTAGGTGAGACTAGTCTGAACCCCACAAACACCTCAATATTGGGCGCATCCGCCAGAAACTGGGGCCCGGGCGAATGAATCTTTGAAGCTGCTGCAAGACTGCACGTGCGAGCGAATGTGCAAGACTCTTCTCAACCAACTAGAGTAGCGTTTTCGTCCTTCTGACGAAGCGCTGGGATCAATGCACGCTACAGGACATAAATGCACCGCTCAATGTCCCATGGAATATGACACGGCTCGCAACAAACAAGGCAATTATTGGAATCGCTTGCGGCTTGCCAGGCCGGACCCGGACTCACCTGCAAGGGTTCGGTCAAGGCAGCCGCCCCACGTTACTCCACGGCAAACAAGACATGGAACCCAAAACGAGGGGGCTCCTCGAGGAGGTTAATGCGAATCATGCGAGTTTGATTCCGGCCTGATAGCTTCAAAGAGGCTGTTGCCCAATTCCCCCGAAGTCCTCCAAGACCAAGCTGCCTGGGAGCAGAGCGGCCCGGGATTTCCGACTGCGCCAACGCCACGCAAGCGCGAAGTTGCAAATGTAGGTCACTCACCACTGCAAGCTTCAGATATCCAACTCCGACGGGGCGACGCTAGCCAAAGAATTCAGCTGCCTAAGCTCGGGACCATGGACGGATTCTGGGGATCGAGTTCGTGCATCTACCAGGCGCAGCCGGCACAAAAAGTCAGCACCCATGCGTCACATTCTTGAGAATTACTTTGTTTCCTTACGTGGCCAAACGTGGCCCCTTTGAGATCTGAAGATGCGGCCCCGTTCTCGTTGGGCGGGTGGGTTGGGGTGCATTTGTTCGGTGGTCCGAGATTTCCGTTCGTTCCACATCTTTCGTCGGAGGGATTCCTGCAACATACCAGCAGAGGTGTGTCTTGCCCACCTAACCAACCACATTGCTTTCTGCCATGTCAATCAAGATGGCTAGGTTCTGAAAGTGAGACTATGTGAACAGCTATATAGAGCCTGAATATGACATATTGGCATGACGGGGGGGTAAAAAGATGAACTGGGTTCAACAAAGGAAGCGGAATGAAAGGGACATGAAAGGAACATTGAGGGGAATTGAAGGCAAATGGAGGAACATGAAAAGCACTAGGAAAACTGCAGGACATGAAAGGGAAACACAAGGAAATGAAAGGAAAATTGCGGGAAATGACGAGGAAACTGCAGGAAATACATAAAGAATACAGGGAATACAAGAAAATGAAAGAGAAATGAAAGGAGGCATACAAGGAGATGAAAGGGATTCGAAGGGGAAATGAAAGGACACAATAAAAGGAAACGAAGCGAAAGCAAACAGAACATGAAAGGAATTGAAAGTAACACATAAGGAAACGAAGGGATGACAAAAGGAAACGCAGGACAATGATCTGGATATGAAAGCAACGGCAAGAGAACGAATGGAAAACAAATGGAAATGAAAGGCTCTCGGAAGGACATGGGAGGACAATGAAAGGAAATGAAGAGGAAATGAAGGGAAAGGACAAGCCATGAAAAGGGAATGAAAGGGACATGAAATGAAATGAAATGAAATGAAATGAAAATGAAAATGAAAATGAAAATGAAAATGAAAATGAAAATGAAAATGAAAATGAAATGAAGACATGAGACGAACATAAGAAGAAACTCTAAAAGGGATATGAACGGAAGTAAACGGAAATGAAAGGAACAAAAGGTGGAAATGAAAGCAGCGTCGGCGCCCCCGACTGCTGGGGCTGGAGGTGGCGGTGAGAGCGGGGGAACGTTGGCAGTACCATATTCGATGCTTAGGATCCATACAACTGTGGCTGGGGGATGAATCAAAGATGACTCGCCGACCTCATGAACTCAACAGTTGCCATGTTCTATCTTTTTGGCACACCCACGTTTGTCATGGCTTTGATGACCGTTTGCATGCGCATTCCGGCTGTCTTTTCGCCAACCCCATCGCAAAAAAAAAGAAAGCGGGCCTATTTCTGCAAGATGGTCTATTTCTGCAACATCCCATGAGCAAACAGGTAAGCCCCAAAGGGCAAAGAGTCTCCTGCGCAAGGTGTTGCCCAAGAACTTGCTTGCTGTGAAGCGATTGGGCGCCGGGAAAGGGGCACTGGTACGCTGAGGTTTTGTTTTGTAGCGCTAGGTTAGGCGGCCGTGCCATAGAACTCTGTTTTTGTTGCCTGAGCATTGTTGGTTAGCATCAATCGGAAACGCCATCCACGCGAGCGCTGGAAGACGAAGAGCTAGCCGCCCAGCAGCTTTGTTCGGGTGACGCTGCCAGGGAGCGCAGCGTGTCTCCAATGCTCGGGCAAAGCGAGCAGCTTTGCTTTTCCAGACCAGCGACAAACTTGCCTCGGTCGACCGCACTTTCCGCGCTGCATCAGCACTCCCATCGCTCCATTCACGACACCCTCCCCCTTGTCTATGTTGACGGTGAGCAGGTACCGCGCGCCAGGGACTGCAGGCAGTTGATCTGCACCTGGGACGCTGTGCGCCACGAGGCCTGCTCGCCTTGACAGCACTGAATTTGTTTCTCCTTTCTGGCGGACGCTGTGACCAGTTCTTGCTCTAAAGTATCCACGCCGCGGCTCCCCCTCCGTGATTTGCAGCCGCTCAAAGGAAGTGACGGTGCGCTGCACGCTCTTTACGGCTCCACGTCTGCAAAGACTCAATGTTCACCAATTGATGCTCTGCGCATCTCTGCGGCGATTTCTGCCAATTGCAGCTGCGACAGCCTTGCGATCTGGAAAGACTTCCTGATGCGAGCCAAGTGCTGGCCCGGCAGGGCAAAACCTAATCGCGAATCAGGCAAAAACCACCGCCTCCTTCAAATCGCCGCCGCTTCCAGACTTCCCTGCGCGGCTTCGAAGACTCGGCTCCCGCGCCACAAGCTCCGCCTTGGCCGCGGCCTTCTGCAACACAGGTCTTGCTCGCGACAGCACGCAGCGCGTAAGGCCCGGGCCCAAGTCGCCAAGATTACTCCACTGTGATTATGCAAAGGGGCGAGGTTCTGAGGCAGGCAGGGCAGAAGAGTCAAGAGCCCCTCGCGGCTTCCAGGCCTCGTCGGTCAAACCTCCCCAAGCCTTGACTTGCTGCATGGCGAGGGATTGTTTGCGATTTCTAGGCAAGCCAAAGCGAGCGCGGCTGCGCTTCGCAGCTGAAGGCCCCCGGCGAAAAGAGTGGGAAGCGAATGACTGAAATTGCTTCAAAGCCCAAGCGGCGGCGGGGACGGCCTCTTGCGCCGAACAAGAAGGCAGTCGAAAAACGCGCTACGCGCCCTGCGCAAACGCTGCAAGGCTGCGGCAACGCCGACGTCGTTGACGCTGTCTGCGGGCTGGCGCCGGCAGCCTGGGCGGGCAAAGTTTCTTTCTGGCGAAACCTCAGCTACCACGCGCGATACTTGCGGGTTGCAAATCCAAGCTACGATAGACTTTGCAAAACTTGGCAGCGCGTCCCACACTAGCAACTTTGGGGAAGCTCGGTCGCAGACCCTGTCTTTCTTTCTTGCACATGCGTTGGCAGCAGTTCACATAATTAATCAAGTCATCTTCCCTGCCAAACTACCATTACATAAAACTTTTGTGGAAAAGGTTGCACGATCTCCTTCGCGGAACTTTCGCCGAGGCCAACTTATTCCCCTTCATATCTCCGACTCTCGCATGTTGAATTTCGCGCAGTTCGGAACATAGAAGGCCCATGCAAATAGCCAGTGTGCGAACCTGAACCTGTCTCTTGATCGGATTGATGTTGTCCAATCCTCTGATTGAACTACACCTCATCTTCTGTAGACCCCCCCCCCCCGTAAGAGGGAAGATCATACCCTATGTGTCGTTCAGGCTGGCTCCAGCTTTGAGTGAATTGTTGAAGTGAAATTATAATGATTTTGCAATTATTGCAATTATTGGAATTGAATTCCAATAATTACAATAATTGCAATAATTTCAGGTCCTGGATTTTGCAATTATTGCAATTATTGGAATTGAATTCCAACAATTCCAATAATTGCAATAATTTCAGGTCCCGGATTTTGCAATTATTGCAATTATTGGAATTGAATTCCAATCATTGCAATAATTGCAATAATTTCAGGTCCCGGATTTTGCAATTATTGGAATTAGTTGGACCGGCTTTGAGGCCAAATTTGGGATCAATTAATTATTGCAATTATTGCAATTATTGCAATTATTGCAATTATTGGAATTGAATTCCAATAATTGCAATAATTGCAATAATTTCAGGTCCCGGATTTTGCAATTATTGCAATTATTGGAATTGAATTCCAATAATTACAATAATTGCAATATTCGGAGGTCCCGGATTTTGCAATTATTGCAATTATTGGAATTGCATTCCAATAATTGCAATAATTGCAATAATTGGAGGTCTCGGATTTTGCAATTATTGCAATTATTGGAATTATCCGGCCCGGCTTTGAGGCCAAATCTGGGATCAATTAATTATTGCAATTATTGCAATTATTGCAATTATTGCAATTATTGGAATTGAATTCCAATAATTGCAATAATTGCAACAATTTCAGGTCCCGGATTTTGCAATTATTGCAATTATTGGAATTGAAGTACAATAATTACAATAATTGCAATATTCGGAGGTCCCGGATTTTGCAATTATTGCAATTATTGGAATTGAATTCCAATAATTGCAATAATTGCAATAATTTTGGAGGTCCCGGATTTTGCAATTATTGCAATTATTGGAATTGAATTCCAATAATTGCAATAATTGCAATATTCGGAGGTCCCGGATTTTGCAATTATTGCAATTATTGGAATTATTTGGTTCGGCTTTGAGGCCAAATCTGGGATCAATTAATTATTGCAATTATTGCAATTATTGCAATTATTGCAATAATAATAATTGCAATATTCGAATTCAATTCAATTATTGGAATTGAATTCCAATAATTGCAATAATTGCAATAATTTCAGGTCCCGGATTTTGCAATTATTGCAATTATTGGAATTGAATTCCAATAATTGCAATAATTGCAATAATTTCAGGTCCCGGATTTTGCAATTATTGCAATTATTGGAATTCAATTCCAATAATTGCAATAATTGCAATAATTTCAGGTCCCGGATTTTGCAATTATTGCAATTATTGGAATTGAATTCCAATATTTGCAATAATTGCAATAATTGCAATAATTTGCAATTGATCCCAGATTTGGCCTCAAAGCCGGGCCAACTAATTCCAATAATTGCATTAATTGCAAAATCCGGGACCTCCGAATATTGCAATTATTGGAATTCAATTCCAATAATTGCAATAATTGCAAAATCCGGGGCCTGAAATTATTGCAATTATTGCAATTATTGGAATTCAATTCCAATAATTGCAATAATTGCAAAATCCGGGGCCTCCGAATATTGCAATTATTGCAATTATTGGAATTCAATTCCAATAATTGCAATAATTGCAATAATTGCAATAATTGCAATACTTAATTGATCCCAGATTTGGCCTCAAAGCTGGGCCGACTAATTCCAATAATTGCAATAATTGCAAAATCCGGGACCTGAAATTATTGCAATTATTGCAATTATTGGAATTGAATTCCAATAATTGCAATAATTGCAAAATCCGGGACCTCCAATTATTGCAATTATTGCAATTATTGGAATTGAATTCCAATAATTGCAATAATTGC